TCTGAGTGCCTGGGGTCCAGTACGGCACATACTGGTCACACCTGGCAAAGGAGGCCAGCGCCACCACCTTAATACACCATCATTTTAGAGGAGGTCTGTCCTTCCCATCACCACCCCAGAAAGGCCTGAAATCACTCTGTAGGAAAGATAGACTCTATTCTGAGATAGTTTAAGAGTCTTGAGCCAGGCGCGGTGGCTCAGGCCTGTAATTCTAGCACTCTGGGAGGCTGAGGCGGGCGGATTGTTTGAGCTCAGGGGTTGGAGACCAGCCTGAGCAAGAGCAAGACCCTGTCTCTACTAAAAATAGAAAGAAATTGGCCAAACAACTAAAAACAGAAAAAATTAGCCGGGCATGGTGGCGCATGCCTGTGGTCCCAGCTACTCGGGAGGTTGAGGCAGTAGGATTGCTTGAGCCCAGGAGTTTGAGGTTGCCGTGAGCTAGGCTGATGCCACGGCACTCTAGCCCAGACAAGAAAGTGAGGCTCTGTCTCAAAAAAAAAAGAGTCTTGATGTGTTGTTGTAGACAATGTGCAGACGGTACACACATCAACAAGGCCTGTGTTGGAAAGGCACAGGGCAGAGTCCCTTCACCATGTACCTTCTGTGCCCCAGTCTACGTAAAAATACAGCATGTTCTGAATGGTGAAGGGAAAAGGAGCATATCCTCAGAGACAACCCTCCCGAACACCTGCAGGACTTCCCCTGTGACCTTAATTTCCTTGTCACTTTATCCACCACACCACAGACTCAATTCAGACCTCAGTCGTGACATCAGCCATCTACCCCGCCAACCCTCTTTGTCTGTTAGCCCACCAGGCTAGTGCTATTCAGAATGTGGTCCATGGGCCAGCACTCGTCTGAGAACTGTTACAAAGAGACAAGGACAAAAACAGAGAGCTGGCATTCGGAAACTTTCACAGCAATTTGACCTCGTTACAACATCCAAGTGCACGATCAGCAGACTCGTATAGACCAGATGGGGTGTCAAAGCACCCACACAAGAAGTGGTATGTAGCGAGAGTTGCCTACTGGGGGTGCGCAGTAGGACCACAGCTGTGTCCACGTAATTTGAGAGGCTGCATTAGGCTGCTCTTCAGCCTCTTCTATCTTCGGCCTTAAAGGAGGTATTTCTTGCTCCTCCCATAACGCAGTGCTAGAGAAGAAAACCTTCTCCAAGAGAAATACTTCAAAGTCCAGGGGTTCACCCCTCCCTTCTGGTTTCACTTCCTTCCCAACCCAACCTAGGTAGAACCTCCATGCACGTTCACACTACTCAGTACATCTGCCCAAATAGTCTCAACCTGGAGTGAATCCACTTCTGACTCAGGCTGCCCATCAGTGCTGAGTTCCTGTGGGGGGCCTGCCTCCTTCTGGGATCATGGAAACAAAATTCCCTTCAAGGAAGACCCAGCCCCTGCCCATGCCTTTCCCTGTTATATTAATAATGCAACACAACATACACATCATTATGTGTATGTTATTTATTTTTTTAAATATTTATGGAAAGCCAATTATTTGCAGTGATGTCAACCATTTATAACTGTGGTCCTTGCCCACAAGAAGCTCACAGTCCAAAAGGAGACAGGGCCCAAGTATTGCAAGGAAGTTGAAGGCTACACAAAGGAGAGGTACAGGAGGCTATGCAAGAGTGTAACCCTCACGGGGGAGGCACGCACGTTTGCCGCTGGGCAACGGCTGGGCACTGTGTGTGTGTGTGTGTGTGTGTGTGTGGTGGGGTGGTCAGTGGGGAGAGGAGATAGTTTAGTTATATCTCTCCCTTCAAAATGGAAAAGGAAAAGGCAACTTCTGTCATTTTAACATTTTTCTTAGACTGGGTAATTATTAGCACATGCAGAAAAAAAATGTGCAATCGGGGTTGTGCCTCCTTATGGCCAAATCAGATCCTCCTTGCACTTCCCTGTGCCTCTGTAGCTGTTATCTGGAAACTGACCCCAAAAAGAAACACCACTCTCCAGGAACCTCAACATGGGTCAGATGTCACCGGGCATGTTGCTAAATCATACACTGAGTCTCTAAGAGGAACCTCAGTAAAACACAGGCCTTGCCAACAAAAAAAGTAGGTTGGTCCCCATTCTTTGGACAAATGCCTTGAGGCTTTGAGTCTTCAAGTTTCTGCCATGACACAATCTCTCCCACTTTCAGGCTATATATTCCAAGGCATGATGTCTGTCCTTTTGTGATTGTATCCTCAGCATGTGTCGAAGGGTCTGGCACATAGGAGGGGGGGCTGTAAATACACGCATACGTGGCATGTCCTCACCTTGGTCTCACCAGCCTGCTCTAAAGAAGGACTTCTCCAAAAGCAGCAGCCCCAAGTCTACAGATTGGCTACGAAAAACACACAACAATTTTCAGGATCACTTGAAACAGGTGACACCACCAAGCAAACACAGACCCATTTAGTTCCACAGCCCACTGGACACCCGGATGGGTCTTGGACAGTGCCAAAACACGAGCCCTTTCTTCAGTTGTGTTGGGAAAACAATTATAAATTTCATTAACTTTTCTTTTTAGGTCCAATTATGGGCTATTTACGGTAACCTTCTAAATGAAGGTCACCAAAATTTAGCATTTGAAAACTAACATTGGCATGTAGAGTTTACTAAAAACTCTACTTTAGCATTCTACTAGGAAGCCTGGCTGCCCGGGAAGCCCTGGCAACCCAGCAAACCTCCTGCATGTGCCCACGTGCCAACAGCTGGAATGCCTGCTATTTGCAGGAAGGCGGCTTTGTTAGCAGTGAATTGTCTGCTTTATGTGGAGTTGGTCATGCTGCTGTTCTTGCTTTTTTCTTTTTTTATAAATTGTGTTTACTTTAGCTCGATCGTTATCAATTTAGTTTGTTTTGGGTTGGGGGGTTAACCTTACAAAGTGTTACCTACACAAAGTGTAGGATTGCATATTTGCATTGACGTTATCGTTGGCCCGTAATTTTCCAGGGACTGAGACTTTAAGATGCGCATTGTGGATTAAGTAATCCTACTGCAACAGCAAATGTATACAGGACCGACTGGAAATGTGTGCACTAACATTTTATTTGGGACATGCTCTTTGTAAACTGATGCTATTTAAATTATTTGCAACATAATCTCAACACATGTAAAAAATTATTTTATACTTATAGTATATTGTTTTATAATACAAATTCTTGTGTACAAATTCTACGATATTTGCATTTTATTTATCTACAAATCATTATTAGGTTTTGTTTCCCAGTGAAAGTGGGGAGGGCAGATGGGCCCAGAGTCTGCACGTGCCAGTGTCCTGGAGTCCCAAACTTCTCCAATCAGGGCAAACACCTGTGCCAACATCCACGTAATTTTTAAGAACAAATGGCCCCCAGATGCTCTCTATACATTTGCAAAATGACATCAGGCCCACCAGGTCTTCCAAGAACAAAGGGAAAAGTTCCACACAAGTGTACTCTGCCTACAATCCTGCCACACAAACAGCCCCAGCATTTTCCAGCTCCTTTCTCGTCCCAGATTCAAAGGTCTTGGCACCAAGATGAGCTGATGTCCAAGGCATCAGCCACTCTCCCCGGCCCCACTTCCACTCCCACCCAGAGCCTTGTCCAGAGAAAGCTCTTCCCAGCCTCAGACCTAGGAATAGGAATATCTGTGGGCCTCACGGGGTCAGGAGGTTTTCCCTGATGCTTTTTCATGCTACTCCAGGAGACAAACCCTCTCCTGGGACTTTTCAGGGACCTTCAGAGAGCCCTGGGCCTACCCCAGCTGAACCAAGGTACAGGGACCCAGCTTCCCCAGGAAAGTGAATTTGAGCCGGTGAATGAAGCCTAGACCCAGAATAGACTCTGGGACGATGTCCCCACCCCAGCGGGAGGGTTTGAACTTCCAGACCTAAGTCATCTAAGCTGGCACCAGGTCTCATCCCATCCCAACCATTCCATTCCAGGCCAGAAGGCTCACAGATTTAACCAGCAAGCTTGGCCATCTGATGGCTCCTCCCTCTGTCCCCAGAAGGCCCTCCTGTGGGCATTCCTTACCTACGGGTCACGTTCTGTTCCGGTGACTGCTGGCGGTGGCGAGAGGCGGAGCAGTGGGTGCCAGGGCAATGGGAGATGAGTCTGGGGAAGGCAGTGGAGGCAAGATCCACGGGGCTTTGGAGGCTTTGCCAAGAAGCTGGGGCTGCTCCCAGGTTGTTGTCAGCACGCCTCCATGGGAAGACTTCTGCTGCCCTGGTGCCCAGCGATAGATGTGGGTTTGCTGCAAAAGGAATGACGTCTGGCAGACAATAAAAGCTGAGGGCTACCTATGTAACAGACGCACTCCCTGTGTGTTCCCCTAAGTCTGCTTAGCATGTGCCCTTGTGGAGCAACCCACCCACAAGAAAGCAAGGACCAAGTCAGAAGTTCAAGTCTCAGCCTTGTCACAAGCTTGGGGTGCCCTCCAGCACTGCAGGACTCAGTTTTCCCATCTGTAAAGTGAGAGGTACACAAGATAGACCCGAAGGCTCTCTGTTGCCCTGTGTTCCTTTGAGCGTGTGCGGTCTCAGAGCCACAAAGATCTTCGTGTCCCACATGTGAGCTGCTCTCTAGGATACCACGTAACTTTCTATGTCCTAGGGCACATACGTGAGGAGTTACATGGGCCGCTTTGTGTGTATGTGCTGGGGGAGGGGAGACCCCACAACAATGTCCTCCCCCCATCCCTCCTCAATAGGCGGAAGCCACTGGCTTCCTCCCTTTCCTGTCTCCTCCTGCCTCCCGTGCACCAGCAAGACTGAGGATTACAGGGAGAGGGGATGGGAAATCAGTCCAACAGTCCCATCCCCAGGTCTGTCCTTACCACAGCCCTCCCCCCACCTCAAGTGACCCCATTCCGGGGCCCTCCAGGCCACACCCATCTCCAGCCTTGAGAGGGGCCAGATTGGGAGGCCTAGAGACTCAGAGGCAGGATAAGTCCTCCCACCCCTCTGGCCTGCCACCCCTCCCACCCAAGCCACCTCATTTCCTCTTCCTCCCAGACACCGATGCACGCTGACCCACACAGGCTGAGCACTCAGACCCAGAGCAACTGACCCCAGGCCAAGCTCGTCCTGGCTGGCCTGGGTCAGCCTCCGGAGTATGGTCTGGCTGGGGCCCTCTCTCCTGCTCCCCATCCTCTTCCTTGCTTCTCATGTAGGTAAGTCTTCCCTGAGCCCTCACCCCATTTCCAAGCCCCAAGGCCCTCATTTTCCCCCATATCCCATCACAGAGACAGAAAGTAGAACGGTGGTTGCCATAGGCTGGGGGGAGGGAGGAATGGGGAGTTTTTGTTTAATGGGTATGGAGTTTCAGTTTTACAAGATTAAAAGAGTGATGGAGATGAGTGGTGCTGATGGTTGCACAATGTTATGAATACATTTAACAACACTGAACTGTATGCTTAAAAATGGTTAAAACACGCCTGTAATCCTAGCACTCTGGGAGGCCACAGTGGGTGGATCGTTTCAGCTCAGGAGTTCGAGACCAGCCTGAGAAAGAGCAAGATCCCATCTCTACTAAAAATAGAAGGAAATTAGCTGGACAACTAAAAATATATAGAAAAAAAATTAGCCGGGCATGGTGGCATATGCCTGTAGTCCCAGCTACTCGGGAGGCTGAGGCAGGAGGATTGCTTAAGCCCAGGAGTTTGAGGTTGCTATGAGCTAGGCTGACGCCATGGCACTCTAGCCTGGGCAACAGAGTGAGACTGTCTCAAAAAAAAAAATGGTTAAGATGGTAGTTTTTATATGTATTTTACCACAATAAAAAATTTTGAAAAAAAAAAAAAAAGAAACCCATCATCACTGCCATCACTTTGATCTACTAGAAAGTGAGATCAGGCCAGGAAAACCCAGGCAGGTGCTAGAAATCACTACAGCCTGGGATCGGGGAGGAGGAGGTGGGTCTTAGGACCAGAGGGAGCACCAGGGCCCATGGGCCCCATGATGTTTTCAGTGGGTGCTCATAGGGTCAGCGTGTTGGATTCATTCAATTATTCACTGGAAAACATTTATTGAGCACCAATAGTATTCCAGGAGTTGTGCTAAGTGCTGGGCCGTTAGCTGAGAGGCTGACAACTTCCAGATCTGTACAATATTAAATGACACTGACCTCCAACAGTTGCCATGGGGTTTAAATGAGACAATACATGCAGAGCACGTGGCACCGTGCCTGGCTCTGGGTAAGGGCTTCTGAGTACGGGGAAGCTGATTCCTACAGTCCACTGGTCAGGGGATTAGAACGCAGAGGCTGCTTTTGGGTGGTTGACAACAGGACTCCGAAAGAGGGCTAAACAGAGAGAGACAAGGAGCCCTAGAGGAGCACTGAGGAGGAGGAGTCAGCTTGCTCTGCCTCAGGTGACAGACGAAAAGGGAGTCAGGAAAGAGCCACTAAGAGACGGTCTTCATTCCAGGGGGCCAGAACAATACATGCAATTCTCAAGGGCAGGGAAGTGTTGGGAAAGAGGTTCCTGCTGGGAACGCGTCAGGGGGGCCAGGTGGGAGCAGCAAGGGGCACGGGAACCGTACATTATCCTGAGGGCAGTGGGGAGCCATGAGAGGCTGTAGGAAAGGGAGTCATGAGGTCAGATTTGAGTCTTAGATGGATCACTTTGGAGGATGAGTTGGCTAAGGAGAGGGTGTGGCTATCAGAATGGTCCAGGTGAGTAGGGATGAGGGCTGAACAAAGGCAGGCTTGGGAAATGCGGCTGAAGTCAAGAAGCTTTTAGGACAGCGGTCCCCAACCTTTTTGGCACCAAGAACCAGTTTCATGGAAGACAATTTCTCCACAAGGGTTGGGGACTGCAGTTTTAGGAAACAATGTGTGGAATTTTGTGACTAATTGAGGCAGCCACCATAATGCTCAAGGTGTGGACTTTAGGATCAGACAACCTGGCTCTGCCAGTTACTAATTGTATGACCCTGGGCAAGTTACTTAACTTCTCTGAGCTTTCCTTTCCTGGCTATAAAATAGGGATAATCACACCCACCTCCCAGGACAGTCAGGGTGGTGAGATGAGAGAACATCAACTAAGTGCCCGGTACATAATCGACATCCAATAAACATTAATTATTATGACAGTGGGATTATGAGATGACTCCGTAGTTTGTGTTTCAGGTGGCGGGTGCAGTCCACTGAGTCAGGGAGCACAGGAGAGGAACAGGTTTGGGAAAAGCTGATGAAAATACAGGTCAGGGCTGAAAGGCCGTCCCCAAGTCATTGACTCAGAGGTCACAGTTAAAGCCAAGGGAGTGATGAGCTTGCCCAAGGAAGCCTGTAGCATAATTGTCATGACCCTCCTCCCTGAATGGAAAGAATATCGACTTCCCTGGAGGGTGTGGGGAGCCAATGGGAAACTGGTGCTTGGTACGAGGTAGGTGGTCAGTAAATGCTGGCTTCATTTACTCCTGGTAGGCTTTTAAAGAATGCTAACTGATAAGCTAAGTGGCACTTAAATTAATGAATTACCTGACAGCCAGCAGGGACAGAGAAGGAGGGGCTCGGGAGGGCGGGGAGCCTGGAGCTGGGGCAAGCTCACAGGGCTGTCCATGATCTGGCATGGACTGGACTATGGTCCCACCTGGTCTCCCTCACTCTCTGCCTCACATTTTGTGCTCCAACCACACCGAATGTGGACAGCCTCCTCCCCAGATCATAATATTTTCACTCCAGGCCTTTACCCAGGATGTTCCCTCCGTCTAGAATGCCCTTCCCTACCCCTGCTCTCTGTCCTTCTCCACTCTCCCCATCCCATCTAGCCCTGCTCCAGTTTCATCTCCCAGGAAGCATCTCTTCATCTGCCTGCCTCCCCCATGCTGGGTTAGGGGCCCCCTCTCTGTGATCCAATGTATAGCACCCTGCATTGGGCATCTGTGTCCACGCCTGCCGCCACAACTAGGCGGTGAGCTCTTTGGTCTGGGCTGGCCCCAGCGAGCTCTGTTTCTGCTCCATAACCTGCTGGCTGCAGAGCCTCTCCCACCTCAAATTCCAGCCCACCAAACGTCTCTGCATCTCCCCAGAGACACTTCTGTTCTCCAGGGCTCTCCAAGCCTGCACCCTCGTGGTGGGGGCAGGGAGAAGGGGGCTCAGGGCAGCCCATGCAGGGCAGTTTTCCCAACAAGCCTGGAAACAGGACTGATAGGAACAGAGTGAGGAAGTGGAGACGGGGAGCATAGATCATTCTTTCCGAAAGCTGGGCTGAAAGGGAAGTCATCTGGCAGGAGAAGGAAGGGGATGCGCAGCCAGAGAAAGATTTGTGGTTTTGTTTTTGTTCTTTTAGGATGAAGAGACTTGAGGGAAAGGGGCTGGTGCAGGTGGAAGGGGGGAGGGGAATGGAAATCCTGATAAACTGCCCGCCTGCGGGGTCTGAGCCACAGGGCAGGGCAAGGAAGAGGGGCGAAGGTGGGGACCCTCCTCAGAGGGGCGGTGGAACAGTAAGATCGGAGGACTGGGGTGGGGGTCTCCGGGCCGAGGGTTGGCTGGGCCCACGATGGAGTCACCAGTGCCCTGGTCCCAGGGGCAGCTGTGGACCTGACGCTGCTGGCCAACCTACGCCTCACGGACCCCCAGCGCTTCTTCCTGACCTGCGTGTCCGGGGAGGCAGGGTCGGGGAGGGGCTCGGACGCCTGGGGCCCGCCGCTGCTGCTGGAGAAGGACGACCGCGTCGTGCGCACCCTGCCGCCGGGGCAGCCCCTGCGCCTGGCGCGCAACGGCTCGCACCAGGTCACGCTGCGCGGCTTCTCCAAGCCCTCGGACCTCGTGGGCGTCTTCTCCTGCGTGGGCGGTGCCAGGGCTCAGCGCACGCGTGTCCTCTACGTGCACAACAGCCCCGGAGGTGAGTGTGGCCGACAGGGGTGAGGGGCTGGGTGGAAGGACAGCCTGGCATGCGACTCTGCCCCAGAGGCTGACCGCACCCTCCACCCGCAGCCCACCTGCTCCCAGACAAGGTCACGCACACTGTCAACAAAGGTGACACAGCTGTGCTTTCTGCACGTGTGCACAAGGAGAAGCAGACAGATGTGATCTGGAAGAGCAACGGTGAGGGGGCATTTGAACCAGCCGGGCAGGTAGACCCAGAGTTCTAACGCTGAATCTCCATCGCCCTCGGGATCCTCAGCTTTGGCCCCTTACACACTCGTCACCCTGATATATCTCTTACCCTCCTGGCCAACCTCCAGGGCCCCTCCTCTGTCCTGGACCAGGTCATGGGATGCACCTGAACCCATCTCAGCTCAGCTCCGAGCTGCCCTCCTACCATACTCAGAGGACCAGGAACCTGTGGTCAGCTACCTCCTTCCTCTAACCCAAACGAGCGCTATATTGAATCCTCATCTTTGACTGTCCCCTGGGAGTTAGCAGGTGCTGTCACATGCCCACCTGGCAGGCGAAAAGCAGCATCCTATGAGGTGGCAGAGAACTGGTAACAAAGTGCCAACACAGGCAGGATAAAGTCTAGCCTCCCCCAAAGATCTATCCAGCCCAGATCCTTGATGCCCGGGACAGACACACGATGAGGCCAAGGCAGACCTGTGGGAACTCAGCCTCAGGCCTGCCCTCCATCCTGGCCCAATCAGGCCCTTTAGCTAACCCCTGGGTGGAAGCTGTTTTCTTGTGTGGCCCCAAAGATTCCTGCAGAAAGAGGACCCTTCCCTTGGGCCAACGGGTTCTGAGCTCCAGGCCCCCTGGAGAGATGCAGGCAGACCTAGGTCTCTAGAGCCTGTTCAGTCCTGAGCAAAGAGGCAAGAAGGGGGTGGGGCAGGGACTGGGACACCCTTCTGATAAGGGGTCTGCAGGTCCTGCAGGGAGGGGCTCAGGGGAGAGACGCCAGAGTAGATGGCACCTGAACTGTGCCCAGGAAAAGTGGGAAGACAAAGAAGCCAGGCAAAGACGGAAGGAAGGGCATTCCAGGAGGGGGGCTGGTAAGAGCACAGGCTGGAGGTCAGGAATGCAGGAATGTCAGCTTTCAGGCAGGATGTGGAGCAGTGTGGGGCTGAGGGCTCAGCAGGGGCTGAATTGGTGAGATAGGGTGCTGAGGAGTGAGATTCATCCTGAGGGCAGGGGAGAACTAGGAGCTGTGCCCAGGAGAGTTATAGACGGCTCTGTTGCGGAAAGATCACACTGGCTGCTGAGTGCAGGACCGTGGGGGGAGGCGAGACTAGAAGCAGAGAGCCTGCTTACGAGGCCGTTGGTGGCTAGGACCAAGGTGGTGGCCATGGTCTGGGACTGGTTTAGGAGCTGACGAGCAGGTAGACTGAACAGGACTTGTGATTTACTGGGCAGGTAGTGGAGCACGAAGACGGTGCTTTAGAGTTCTCTGGCTCAAGTGCTAGGCTCTCATGGTACCGCCCCCAGGTCTGACCACTGTGCATGGGGCCCACTGGTGTAACGTGGGCAGAGATGGACAGAGGGAACTGACACCAGCCCTCATGTGGTGCTGAGGCCCCTGACCCATTCCTCCACCCCAGGATCCTACTTCTACACCCTGGACTGGCATGAGGCCCGGGATGGGTGGTTCCTGTTGCAGCTCCCAAACGTGCAGCCATCGTCGAGCGGCATCTACAGTGCCACCTACCTGGAAGCCAGCCCCCTGGGCAGTGCCTTCTTTCGGCTCATCGTGCGGGGTCAGAGGCAGAAGACAGAGGTCGTGGGTGGTGTGGGAGGCTGGGAGCCCTATGGGTATTTCCTGTGTGTCCCCTGGATCCCCCAGTTGCCCAGAACTACCCCACTCTTCGGTGGCCATGGCCAGGTGAGTGAAGGTCAGCCGCTGAAGACACTTCCCTCCAGGTTGTGGGGCTGGGCGCTGGGGGCCAGGCTGTGCTAAGGAATGCCCAGGCTGCCTGCATGGAGGTGTCTGCCACGACCATGACGGCGAGTGCGTGTGCCCCCCAGGATTCACTGGGACCCGCTGTGAGCAGGGTAAGGAGGAGGAGAGCTGGGGTCCTGGCAGGGGAGGATGGCTGACTGGGGGAAGACCCTAGAGCCATGGGAATGGAGCTTGGAGGGTGAGGGTGCCAGGTAGACCCCTGACCCTGGGGCCCAACAGAGGCCTGTACACCCACACCCCCTCTTTCTAGCCTGCAGAGAGGGCCGTTTCGGGCAGAGCTGCCAGGAGCAGTGCCCGGGCACATCAGGCTGCCGGGGCCTCACATTCTGCCTCCCGGACCCCTATGGCTGTTCTTGCGGATCTGGCTGGAGAGGAAGCCAGTGCCAGGAAGGTACAGACTAGCCCACCCTCCTGGTCCCTGTCCAGGACAGCTGGCTGCAAGCTTGACCAGGGCCCTTCACTCTGACCCTGACTTACACGTCAAGCCCTCCACAGTCCCCACTTGCCTGACCAGTGCCCCATCTGGGCCCCCCTTGCCCCTGCACCCGGGCCCCTCTAACCGCACCTCCTCTGTTCCCAGCCTGTGCCCCTGGTCATTTTGGGGCTGACTGCCGCCTCCAGTGCCAGTGTCAGAATGGCGGCACCTGTGACCGGTTCAGCGGCTGTGTCTGCCCCTCTGGGTGGCATGGAGTGCACTGTGAGAAGTCAGGTATGAGCACCAGGGTCTCTGAGACCCTCAAGATGAGTCAGCCTTCAGCAAACTCATCTTCCTGGCTCATAAGCATCACGCCCCTGCTTTCCCTGTAACGTCCAAGCCCCGGGCTCAGGGAGCCGTATTCTGGCAGGAGTTCTCAGCCGTCCTGACCCAAGGGGCAGCAGCCCAGAGCACGTGGGAGCCCAGAGGACGCCACCAATCAGTCCGGGAGGGTCGAGGAGGGTTCTGAGAGAAGGCATGATCTGAGATTGGAGAGGAAAGAGAGGAGAGGGATGGCCGGGGAAAGAACATGGACAGAGGCCCAGGGCTTGAGGACTCAGGCGCGGGTGCTGGGCAGTGGAGTGCGGGGCTGGGGAGTGCTCAGAAGAGGTCAGATCGTGGGACTTTGGAATGACCGTGGGGCTTTTGAATGACCAGCCAGAGGGTTTGCACTCAATAGGATAGGGGCAAGAGGGAAATGTTGAAGAGGCACAAGGCGGTGACATTTGAGTTTGAGAAAGGGCCCCTAGCTGCTGGCTGGAGAGCAGAGGCAGGAGACCCTGGAGGAGTCCGTAGACGGGGACCGGAAACCGTGAGGCCCGAGCTAGTGTGCTGGCCGCGAGGACGGCGAGGGGCCTGCGGCGGGTATCAGAGGGTATTAGGAAGTGGGAGCGGGTAGGAGGCAGACGCTGCACTGACGGGGCATGGGGCTGAGGGTGCTAGAGGAGGACTTTGATGGCTTTCAGGCTTGAGTGACGAGGTCGATGGCAGTGCCCCCACTGGGAAGCAGAACACTGGACGAGGGGCACTTTGGTGGTCACGTGCTGCCCCATGGGAGCTCCAGGATGAGTGTCCTCTCTGTCTCTCCCCAGACCGGATCCCCCAGATCCTCAACGTGGCCTCGGAACTGGAGTTCAACTTAGAGACGATGCCCCGGATCAACTGTGCAGCCGCCGGGAACCCCTTCCCAGTGCGGGGCAGCATGGAGCTGCGCAAACCGGATGGCACCGTGCTCCTGGTCAGCCCCGACCCCCGAGCCCACTGGTCCCCATCCTGCCAGCTGCATGGTTGATCCCTAAGACCCCTAACCCCTCAGAACTTTCTGCATGCTCTACCCATTGGCCAGACCATGCTCAAATGAGGTGGGGCTGGTTGGTGAGGGGCTCCCACGGACAGTCCAGACAAACACATGTGTCTGCTACAGGAGTGCTCACTCTCTGTGGTCTGTCCCCTTCCCCCATCCCTCAGTCCACCAAAGCCATCGTGGAGCCAGATAGGACCACAGCTGAGTTCGAGGTGCCCCGCTTGGCTCTTGGGGACAGTGGGTTCTGGGAGTGCCGCGTATCCACATCTGGTGGCCAAGACAGCCGACGCTTCAAGGTCAATGTCAAAGGTCAGTGACGTCCTAGCTCCATGGAGAAAGGACAGTGAGCAGAACTGACACTCCCTGATGCTGCTCAGACTTCAGATCCTAGCAGGAGGGCAAGGGCATCTAAGGTCACAGCATAACACCACACAAAGAAGAGGGCTGTGGTCAACCAGAGATCCAGGCTGGCCAGTGTCAAGGCTGGAGCACGGCTTAGTCCCATCTGGAAAGGACATCTCCTGCCACAGAAACTGGGGACACCCTCCAGCCTCACCCTCCCTCCTGCCTAGCCATGCTGCCCCTCCACCACCGCACACACACAAGTCCGAGTACGCCCAGGGGAGTGCATGGGGCTGTGGAACTCAGAGGGTGACTGGCTTTGCTTCCCAGGGGCAGTGCATGCCTAGGAGTCTGCCAGGTGAATAGGAGGGAACTGCCAGTCCTGGGGTTGCCCAGAGCAGAGCACCCCACCCAGGTCCAGGTGACCCTTCACCCTCTCCAGCACCATGAGCCTCAGCCACTCACACACCTGCCACCCCTAAGCCCATCCCCGCTCCTGACCCCTTCTCCTCCACATGAGCACCCCTTGCATTGCTCTTTCTCACTGTCCACTCTGCCTCCCAGCGCCTCGCCTAACCCCAGCCCCACCACCTGGCTCCACCCTCCACCTTTCCCTGCTCACTCTCCCTGGGCTTCGGGCTCAGACCACCTGGGTTTGATCCTCTGTCCACAAGTTCCTTGCTCCATCACCTTTCACAAGGTACTTAACCTCTTTTAAGTTTGTTTCTCTCTCTGTAAAATGGTGATAAGGTTGCTATGAAGATGAAATTAGAGGATGCATTTAAGCATTTAGCACAGTGCCTGACACAGGGTGTGTGCTCAACGTACGTTGACAATTATTGATATTTTAAATGTCATCTAGTCCCAAGATTTTGATTGTTCTCTGGCAACTCCCGTATGAACCATAGGCACCAGGGTCTCCTCAGGACCCAAACTGGGCCTTTGTCTCCCCACAAATGAGCACCTCCTCATGACACACTCGTGACACCTGACACCCCCTCAGCTCACAGCTCTGCAACAGGCTTGTCCCTCTTCCCTCCCTCCCTCTCTTCCTTTCTTCCTTCTTAGGAAGGAAGTCAGTCTGCGCCGGCGGACGTGATAGTTCACACCTGTAATCCCCACACTTTGGGAGGCTGAGGCTGGAGGATCACTTGAGGCCAGGAGTTCAAAACCAGTGTGGGCAACATAGTGAAACCCCATTTCTACAAAAAAATTTGTGAAAAATAGCCTGGCGTGGTAGTGTGCACATGTAGTTTCAGTTACTCAGGAGCCTGAGACAGGAGGATCCCTCAAGCCCAGGAGTTCAAGGCTGCAGTGAACTGTGATGACAGCACTGCACTCCAGCCTGGACAACAGAGTAAGACTCTGGTTCTAAAATGAAGAAAGAAAGAAAGTCAGTCTGGTAATTATTTGGAAGAGGCAAGGGAACCTATCAAGGCATCAATGCAATAATCTGGAGAGACAAACTGAGGCCAGGAGAGGAACAGTGACCATGGAGTGGGGAGGCCAGGCAGGAACTTGAAAGCTGCTTTGGAGTAGAACCAATTGATTTGGGGTTGCCTGGTCAGACAGACCTAGTTCAAGCCCTGGCTGTGTGACGTTAGGCCAGCTATTCAATGTCTCTGAGCCCCAGTGTTTTCATGCGGGGTAATGAGCCCTGTCTGAAGGGTAGCTGTGAGAATCAGGCTGCGCAATGAAGCATCGGCTAGAGCAGGTGCTTCATCACTGGCACCTTTTTTTTTTTAAATTAAGAGAGTGATGAATGCTGAGGGGAGGGGCAGAGAGCAGAGTGACACCCAGGTTGTGCCCCGACCCTGGGTTCCAGCCCCTCATCTACCCCTACACTATAAGGGCAGAGTATTCACCCCAAACCCTGTCTGGCCACATCACTCCCTCACCTACCAACTTTTGGAACACACTCGTGTCCTTATTGCCACATCCCTGACCATAGCTCTGTCCTCCCTGGGCCCTGGCCACTCTGGTCATCTGCTGAACTTGGTCTCCCCGAAGCTCCAGACAAAGCCCAGAGGTGTCTTTGATGCCCACTGCAGAGCCCCTCCTTTCCCTGAGGCCTGGACAGGCAGTGTGGCCATGCCTCACCCCAAGTCTCCCGGCAGTGCCCCCGGTGCCCCTGGCTGCACCTCGGCTCCTGGCCAAGCAGAGCCGCCAGCTCGTGGTCTCCCCGCTGGTCTCATTCTCCGGGGATGGACCGATCTCCTCTGTCCGCCTGCACTACCGGCCCCAGGACAGCACCATGGCATGGTCGGCCATTGTGGGTGAGTTGGAGGGAGTCAGGGCAGGCCAGGGGTGCTGGGTGTAGGGGAGCGGGAAAGGGAGGGTGGGTGGTGCAAGGAGAAGAGCAGGGCTGAAGGGGGCGTGGCAGCTTCTAGAAGAGGCCGAGGCTGAATGATGTGTACCGTACACCCCGTCCCCAGTGGACCCCAGTGAGAACGTGACGTTAATGAACCTGAGGCCAAAGACAGGATACAGTGTCCGTGTGCAGCTGAGCCGGCCAGGGGAAGGGGGTGAGGGGGCCTGGGGGCCTCCCACCCTCATGACCACAGACTGTCCTGGTGAGTGGACAAGAGTGATCCTTTCCTGTCCCCGCAGGGGTTCCTGTCCTGTTCCCCAAGGGGCCCCTGCCTTTCCCCTTGGAGGCTGTCCACTGGGGATCGCTGTCCTGTCCAGCTCTGAGGACCCATTGGACAGTTCTGACCTCTGACCTCTGGCCGCAGAGCCCGTGTTGCAGCCATGGCTGGAGGGCTGGCATGTGGAGGGTCCTGACCGGCTGCGAGTGAGCTGGTCCTTGCCCTTGGTGTCTGCGCCACTGGTGGGCGACGGTTTCCTGCTGCGCCTGTGGGACGGGGCACGGGGGCAGGAGCGGCGGGAGAATGTCTCGTCCCCCCAGGCCCGCACCGCCCTCCTGACCGGACTCACGCCTGGCACCCACTACCAGCTGGATGTGCGGCTCTACCACTGCACTCTCCTGGGCCCCGCTTCGCCCCCTGCGCACGTGCATCTGCCCCCCAGCGGTATGCCCGGGCTGGGGAGGGGAGAGGACATGGGACACAGGCACACATGAGACCCGATGTGGGAGGAGATTGGGTGGGCGTGGAGTGGACACAGGACACACCTAGGGCGTCAGGCAGACATGAACCCAGCGAGGACGGAGGACGTGGGGAAGATATAGGATACCAGGAGGACGTAGGTCACCAGGAGCATGCGGGACGGGGACACAGCATGCGGGGACGTGGGGAGGACTTGGGATGCAAGGGGAGCAAGGGGAAGCAGAGTGAGGGTGGCCTGGGGCAGAGAGGAACTCAGCCTGGGAGGGGAAGCAGGAGCTCGACGGGATGGCTCCCTTTCTGGGGTCCACAGAGCAGGGGACATGGAGCAGATGTGTCTGACCCACAGCTGCATAGCCTGAGCCTTGTCTTCCTACCCCCATCTCCCCAGGGCCCCCAGCCCCCCGACAGCTGCAGGCCCAGGCCCTCTCAGACTCCGAGATCCAGCTGACGTGGCAGCGCCCAGAGGCTCCGGCTGGGCCTATATCCAAGTACATTGTGGAGGTGCAGGCGGCCGGGGGCGCAGGAGACCCGCTGTGGATGGATGTGGACAGGCCCGAGGAGACAAGCACCGTCGTGCGAGGCCTCAATGCCAGCACGCGCTACCTCTTCCGAGTGCGGGCCAGTGTTCAGGGTCTTGGTGACTGGAGCAACACGGTAGAAGAGGCCACCCTGGGCAACGGTGAGAGGGCGAGGCCCATGAGACTCCAGGGCCTGGGGCTGCCTCGGTGTGCTCTCTCTCCACTTGACCCCCCGTGCAGCCCGGGCACCGCAGCCCCCTCCCAACCAGTGACACAGCCCTGGTACTGGGGACTCTGACCTTTCCCTTCTTGTGACCCACTGTCCTAAGGCTGGAAAATCATGTCGCTCCTGTGGCACTGTTGGGCCTTCCTCCATGTGGCCAAAGTGACCTCCCCGTGTCCTGTACTGGGATCTTTGACCTCTCCCTCAGTGTGACCCCATGTGTGGCCTCTGGGTTCCCTGACCCAGGCGTCCCCACAAGCTGCCCCTGTTACTGTGTCCAGGGCTGCAGGGCGAGGGCCCAGTCCAAGAGAGCCGGGCAGCGGAAGAGGGCCTCGATCAGCAGCTGATCCTGGCTGTGGTGGGCTCCGTGTCTGCCACCTGCCTCACCATCCTGGCCGCTCTCCTGACCCTGGTGTGCATCCGCAGAAGCTGCCTGCACCGGAGACGCACCTTCACCTACCAGTCAGGATCGGTCAGTGACCCACGCCCGCCCGGGTACATGTGTGCAGCCCCTCGTGCGCGTGTGTTTCTACCTAAGTACACATAAGTGCTTGCACACTGTGTGTGTGTGCATGCGCGTGTGTTTATGTCCCAGGTATCAAGCTACACTCACAACACTCAAGGATGCAAAATATAATTTTCTTTATTTCTCTAGAACTGAACTCAGCTCATGAGCCCATTTATGTTGGTGGTGAAATATTTAATATCCCAGTTCAAAATAACTCAGTTATGTCCATATTTCGCCAGGGCCCATTCCAGGCTTGGACTCCTGGACTTGGGTTTTCCTCTCCCCCTTCCTTCGCCCTAGGGGTGATCTAAGCCCAGGTAGCACAGTGATACCACGGAGGGGCACCTGGTTCCATGCTGGCCTCTGTCCTTGCAGGCCCTCGAAAACCTGGGAGCCAGCCTCTGTCCACACACATCCCTGGCAGATGTCCCCAGCCCTGCTGTGGCCTCCTGCCAATAGGCCACTCATGCCGTGAGCTCCTCATCCAACCCCTATCCTTGCAAATCCCAGGGCCTCCTTTGGGAAACGTAAGAACTCTGGGGGCTTCCGCATACCCTGCGGAGGGCAGCACGTTCTGTGGCCCTCAGACCCCTCGCCACAACCCCTCAGACAACTGTTCCTGCCGCTCTGGAATTGTGTGAGGCCGGCAGCCTTGCCACCGCCCTGAGAAAAGATCACCAGCCTCCACTCTTCCTAGCTGCCCTGTAAACCTGCCAGAGTTTTCCGTCCTCCTGTAGCCCACGCCCATCCAGCCCTCAGGCCAACACTTAGAGGTGGGGGGGAGGGGACCCAATGTCCCCTCATCTTGTCACACCCTCCCATCTGGCCTCCCACCCCAGGTCCTGTCTCCTCTGGGATCTCCCTCACTGTTGTCACTCGCAACCTGAACTCTACCCTTGGTCCTCCAGGCCTGAACTCTTGATATTTAGAGGCAAGCTTTGGCATTTAAAAAAAAAAATAAAGCCCTCTTCTTTCTCAAGGGCTGACCCTTGTGATAGAAAGCCTAGTGTCCAGGGCTGGTGTCTCTGCTGTGCCTTTAAAAAAATCCACTCAGAGATTCAATTGGCCTCTTTGTTCCAGGCTGTGTCGGCCCCTCCTCTGAGGTCAGTGCACACAGAAAGCCGCCACTGCTGTGGTGGGGGAGGGGGGTGGGGACAAATGTCGAGGGCAGGAGGTGGGAAGGCAGCCACATCATCATAACCCGGGCACGTGTGTGTCCCCTTGTGGGGACCCCTGTGTATATGCATGTGTCCTGAATGCAGTGTGTCTCTGTGCACCTCCCTGCTCACGCATGTACACGGACCTATGCTTGGATGCACCTACATACGGTGCTGCCGTAAGAACATATACGTGCACTCTGGTGTGTGCTTTCAGCTGTCCATGCTTCACGCAAATCCGTGTGTGCCATGTCCTCGGCCCTTGCCTGTCAGACTGGGCTTCAGTGCACTTAGGGAGCCCCACCACAAGGCCCACCTCCACCCCTCTTCCAGCTCCTTTTTCCTTTTCCTGCCCTCAGCCCTGCCCAGGTGGCCCACCTCCTACTCAGTTGAGGGAAGTGACATTCTTCTTTGTTGTGGTCTTGCTGTATTCATCTCCTGGCCTGGCTTTAGAGCTGTGGATAGACACCAAATGTGTGTACAAGGGTAATCTCTAATTCTGCTACTGTGGAGAAGAGCCCTCCACTGGCTCCCAGCCACTCAGGGCTTAGCATGTGTTAGGTGCTCAATAAACGTACCTCACCTACAGCCAGCCCAAGGCTGGGATCCTCTCCAGAGCCTCCCCGGTGACAAAGAAGCCTAGGTGTGGGATTAGTTCAGTGGTGGGGCACTCCCTGCTGTGCAGCTCACCCTAATCCTTTTCTGTTTTAAATGTTAGAAATATCATCCTTCCCTCGTGGCTCCTAGCAAGCTTACCTACAAGCCCTCCTTCTGCCTTCCAGAGCCCCACACACCAGATCCCCAGGCTGCAGCTCTGCCTTTCTCTCCATGGACATCTGTCCACCCAGTGGCCCCCCTGTGGCTCTACCACCTGAGATTCTGTGCCAGTGTCTGTCCCTGGCTGACCACCAGGGCACCCTCTGTCCATTTGTCTAACCACTGGAACCTCTTTGTGTGCCATCTGGCCCTCTCCTGCCCCCACGTCTCTTGCGTGGACTGTCTACCCACTTATCCCATCCTGTGAAGGGCGAGGAGACCATCCTGCAGTTCAGCTCAGGGACCTTGACGCTGACCCGGCGGCCAAAACCGCAGCCCGAGCCCTTGAGCTACCCAGTGCTGGAGTGGGAGGACATCACCTTCGAGGACCTCATCGGGGAGGGCAACTTCGGCCAGGTCATCAGGGCCATGATCAAGAAGGATGGGCTCAAGATGAACGCAGCCATCAAGATGCTGAAAGGTCCCCCAGGGGTCCCCTGACCCAACCCTGGCCCTCTCCTTTGTCCCACAGATTCCAGGCCCCCCGGCTCCCTCCAGCAATTGGTCCCCCACCTTCACCAGCCCAGCCCTTTCTCCAGAGTTATTTCTGGCAAAAGTGATATTGGATATTTTACAGAGTATGCCTCTGAAAATGACCATCGTGACTTTGCGGGAGAACTGGAAGTTCTGTGCAAATTGGGGCATCATCCCAACATCATCAACCTCTTGGGGGCCTGCGAGAACCGAGGTGAGCTCCCAACTCACCACCTACTCCTCCTTCCAAACCCCTACCATCGGCCATCACCTCCGCCACATCGGTAGCTTGCTGGGCACTGCAGGTGACCTGCACGTCCACCTCGGTTCTCCCTCATGCATCAGGCTTCCTGTCTATTACCGTTGGGCACCTGCTCCTAGCCCAGGTGGCCTGTATCTAAATCATCACATGTGTCTCCTCCCCTCCCAGGTTACTTGTACATCGCTATTGAGTATGCCCCCTACGGGAACCTGCTAGATTTCCTGCGGAAGAGCCGGGTCCTGGAGACTGACCCAGCTTTTGCGCGAGAGCACGGCACGGCCTCCACCCTCAGCTCCCGGCAGCTGCTGCGTTTTGCCAGCGACGCTGCCAACGGCATGCAGTACCTGAGTGAGAAGCAGGTGTGTGAGCGGGGCGGGTGATGGAGGGGCTGGGGAAGGCTGCCAGTCAGCCGGCTGGGGTTGGATGTGGGGATTGAGGAACGGTGAGAAGGAAGGATGTGGCCCCCGTTCCTGGCCCTGGGGAGAGGCGAGTGCAAGTGCAGCGAGGAGGGAGCAAGGGTGAGAGGCATGTCCGGAGGGGTGTGGAGTGAGCAGTTGCAGGTGCCAGCCCAGCACCCAGGAGAGAGGCCCAGGCTGCAGCAGCGGTCTTCGGCTGTCACCCTGCAGAGGGTGCCTGATGGCGAGGGGGCGGTGAGATCCACCAGGCAGGGGGACGAGTGGAGGCCCACACCCGGGGCTGAAGACACTCTGCCTGAGTGCAAGAAAGGGATGACTGCCCAGGGGGACACAAGGCATTTTAAGGATAGTAAGGCTTTGAGTATCAGTGAAAGCAGAGGGGAAGGGCCAGTGCCCAGGGCGGAGTCGATGGAGAGAGGCCTCTGAGGAGGGTGCGGGACCAAGGGGGCAGGAGGGTGGGAGAAAGGGGGTGGGGAGATGGCAAGAGGGGAAGGTGCCATGTGACCATGGTCGTCCCAGGAAGAGGGATACAGCCTGAGCTTGGCCATGGCCCTGGGAGGAGGGCGTGAGAGCCAGCACCGATTTTCTCAGACAGGAGTCGGCTCATCTAGGATTGAGGCCCAGGTGGGTCGGAGAAGAGGAAGGGGCACTACAGGCGTCAGGGTGCCCATGAAGACTTGACGGTGGGACCAGACCCCTGACTGGCCCCAATGTCATGGGCGTCCTCATCCCCCAGTCTTCTCTCACTTCTGACCTTGCCTACAGTTCATCCACAGGGACCTGGCTGCCCGAAATGTGCTGGTCGGAGAGAACCTGGCCTCCAAGATTGCAGACTTTGGCCTTTCTCGGGGGGAGGAGGTTTATGTGAAGAAGACGATGGTAAGTATCATTCAACCCTCCCCCTCAGGGCCTGCACCTAGCCCTGCCCCCCAGAACCCCCAAACGGGCCCTTCCTCCACGCCCGACCCCTCAAACCCACTCTCTGCCAGGGGCGTCTCCCCGTGCGCTGGATGGCCATTGAATCTCTGAACTACAGCGTCTATACCACGAAAAGTGATGTGTGAGTGTGGAAAGGGAGGGGATCGGGGGGCCTGGCGCCCAAGGGTCACCCAGGCATAACCCAGACACATCTCAGAAATGGCTCAGGTAGTCTAAGACATGACGTGGCATCCGTAGGGTGTGTGCCGGGTGTAACATAGGTGTGTCTGGAGTATACCTTGGCAGTGCCCAGCATCTTAGTGGGAAGGCGGTGGGGCTAGCTGGAAGGAGGTTTTGTCTTGGAAGGTGTTTCAGGGGTAGGATTGGGGTAGGGGTAGGTTAGGATTGTGTTTGTGTAAGAGACAGGGGGTGTCTTGGAGAGGTTTGGGAACACTCGTGGATAATTCTGGGCATAGATGGAGAGACCACTAAAGAAGTGCTCTCGCCTTCCCCTCTGAAGGGCAAGGTCATGCGCACCTGAGGATCTTACCAGAGTATGACCCCAGGACTCCCCACCCTCAGGTGACCATCTTGGCACACTCCGCCCCCCGCCCCCCCCAGACCAGGGATGTCCATCTCTGTCTGAACCTGCCTGACCTTTCAGCCCTGACTCCGAGCCACTCTGCCCCTTGCCCCAAGCCCTTTGTCCTGGCCTGCCCAGCTCACTGTCCCCCACACTGACTGCCCCTCTGACCATCATGCACCTACTTCCTGCTTCTGCCCCAGGGCTCCCTAGATCCCCTCCATCCACTTGAACTCTCTCCCTGGTCTCAGGTCTGATGCACACCTACCCAGAGGTGATTACAGCATGAGAGGCAGTTAAGAGCAGACTTAACTGGGTTTGAGCCAGACTGCCTGGGTTTGGATCCCTGCTCTGCCACTTACTAGCTGTGTGATCTTGGGCCAGCTAGCTAACCTCTCAGTGCCTCAGTGTCCCCATCTCTAAAATGGGGATAATAATAGAACTTATATCACAGGGTTGGTATGAGGGTTAAATGAACTAAAATATATATTAAATGATCAGTGCCTGGACTGTAGTAAGTGCTCAGAAAAATGTTGGCTATAATTATGTTGAGCCTGGGCATGGGAGACTGTGCAGGAGCTCAGTGGAGCAGAGACAACAGGCACTCTGCCAGGCACTCGCAGAGTAGCCCCATGCAGGGCCTGGGAGGGGCTGCACACCTCAGGTAGGTGGAGACTAGACTTCTGGGGCCTGGAAGGTAACTGAAGGTGTCCTTCTCATTTCAGCTGGTCATTTGGGGTCCTTCTCTGGGAGATAGTGAGCCTTGGTGAGTCCCCGACCCCCACTCCCCAGAGTGCCCCCACCTTACCCATGTGGGGCCCTGCACTGAGAGAGCCTTGTCCCCTCCTGCAGGAGGCACACCCTACTGTGGCATGACCTGTGCTGAGCTCTATGAAAAGCTGCCTCAGGGCTACCGCATGGAGCAGCCTCGAAACTGTGACGACGAAGTGTGAGTCACCTCAGCCTCGATCTCTGTGACCCCATCTCCATGATGAGTGACCTCAACTTCGAGCCCTGTGACCCCATCACCCCAGTTGGCCCTGACCCCTCATCTCAGCAATGCCCCTGTTCGCAGGTACGAGCTGATGCGTCAGTGCTGGCGGGACCGTCCATATGAGCGACCCCCCTTTGCCCAGATCGCACTGCAGTTGGGCCGCATGCTGGAAGCCAGGAAGGTGAGGAGGCTGGGGTGGGGGCTGAGGCCCCCCCGAGTGCCCTCTCATAGGTGCCAGCCACACTGCCTGCCCAGACTCCCTCAGCCGGGGCTGTCACCATGCTGGGCTGAGCCCCAGGATGCAGCCCACCTCTCCAGCCCTTGCTGGGTTTGACAGTAGGATGGATGGATGATACCGTAACTGTATGAAAGAATGAGTGGAATTAGTGGATGGAAGATACAGTAATTTATGAATGAATGAGTGGAATTAGTGGATGGATGATACAGTAACTGTATGAATGAATGAGTGGAATTAGTGGATGGGATCATATAGTAACCGTATGAATGAATGAGTGGCATTAGTGGATGGATTATACAATAACTACATCAATAAATACATAATTCAGTAACTGAATCATGTGAATAAATGAACTATCAAATAAATAGAAATGAAAAACATATCAAAATTAGTAAATATGAAGAGTTCTTCATATGAATTAATTAATGACTAAATATCTTAAGAATGAAGGAACAATCAAATAACCACACAAATGAGTGAATCATCAAAAATAGCCTTTGACTAGATGAATAAGTAAATGAATGAATGAATGTACAAGCAAACAGTTCATCAGATGAATGCGTGAAAACCCTGCTCTAACAGTGATGTCAAGGGCCTCTCACCTGAGACGCCCCGCTGTGTCTGATGTCCACATTGCCTTGGGCTGATAAGGGCCACCCTTGGCCATAGGGCCATCTTGAGTCTCCAGAACAAATCAGTGTCAGTTCAAATGCCCCAGCTGCATTAAAGTCAAGGAGCTCGAGGCCAAATGATCCTTCATCCATGGCCCCCACTAAAGCTTGCTCTGCCCCTAGGCCTATGTGAACATGTCGCTCTTCGAGAACTTCACTTACGCGGGCATTGATGCCACAGCTGAAGAGGCCTGAGCCGCCATCCAGCTAGAACCTGGCTCTGCTGGCCGGAGCACTCTGCACTCCACCCTGTGACTTCTGACCCTGACAGCCTCTGACCTAAGCTGCCTCAAGGACTTTTTTTTTTAACTTAAGGGTGAAAAGAGGGGATCCAAGGATGGGGTGGGTTTATAGGAATTGGGTCCCATGCTTTGCAGTTGCTCCCTTGCCCCCTGCAGCTGCTCTTGTAGCTACCCCGGGCACCCTTCCTTCTAGTTCAGCTATCCTACAGGTGTGCTCCCCGTCCCGCTGCGCCCCACGTGCAAGCCCCCGCCCCAGGCCCTCCGTCCAAGCCAACACACACACTGCTAGCACACCCTGTTCAGCTACTCCCCACTCCCTGCCTGGTATTCAGAAAAAAATAAATGCTCTGAGAAGCTCCATCTAATGTCTGTCTTTTCCTACTAGTCAGTGGCGGGATGGGGCCTCGGGGCAGGGTGGGAATTAAGCCCAAGAGAGAGAAACTGGTCTTTCCAGGAAAAGAAACACTGTCACTAGTTACGCTCTCTGAGGCCCAAGCCCTCTGTTGAGGTTCCCTCTCCAGGATGGGAGATGTTGTGGAAGACCCATTTTACACATGCACTGCTAGCCCTCACCTCTGTCCTAATCAGAAGTCCGATTTCCCCTGGTCCTGCCCTGCTCTCCAGCCTTCATCACCAATGTGTCTCCCCGAATCTCTAGGTGCTGCCAGCCTCGGGTTCCTTGCTCTGTCCGAGCGGTCCACGCCAGGACCAGCTGCAGCCCAGCCTTGCTCAGACTGGCACCTTGGCACCAGACAGAGTCTGGCCCGTCTTGAGTTCCTTATGCTCCTGTCCTTTTCCTTATGCTCCAGGCAGCCACCTGACTGCCCAGCTTGTGAGCCCAAAAGGGAGAGGAGGGCAGAGGCCACTTCCAACTGCAGCAAACCATGCTGGGACTCCTTTGCCCGGCTCAGGGTGTCACAGTGCTCTGGGAGGTGCTCCTTTTCTGCACTCTTGCTTCCTGTCCTGAGAGTTAGTCCCACGCTGCCCCATGCGGTGTGGCCTCCGGGCTTCCTACCCTTTGGGTGGCTCATGGCTGGCCTCAGATTTCTCTCCCCGTGGTCCTTTAGAAACAAGACTGGTTGTGTCTCACACATTTTTTCAGTGAATCAGATGAAATCAAAGAAGGTCTAACACTGTATGGCCAGAGCACGGATACTGGGGTCACAGACATGTGTCCTAGTCTCTGCTATATCACTCACGACCTGAGTGGCCTTGGTCAAGTCACTTAAGCTCTCTGAGCTTCAGTTCTCTCCTCTGAAAAGTGGGGTTAGTAATAATTACCTCATTGCTGTTGGTGCTGGATGAGATCGCACAGGCCTGTCTTTCACTGCTGGCCCAGGCCACAGTCAGTGTTCAGCACGTGTCACTGACATCACCATGCTCCAATGCAGGACGGGGAGGTGATGATCAGAGTCTGCATTCTGAAAAGACTTGAATGATTGGAGTGTGGGGATGAATTTAAAAGGAAGAAATTAACCGGAATAAATGGGAGGCCATGTAGGATGGAGGAGATGGGATTTGCTGGAATAAAACTTCATTTCAGAGCCACATTCACTGCAGGGATATTGCCAGGTCCAGGGTGTGGGGATTAAAAAGTGTCCCCGATGGGGACAGATATGTAAACAAGGATGCCTCTGTGGGGTGACAGATATGTAAACAACAAAACACAGTGGGTGTGCTCTAAGAGACAGAGGGGACCCAAGGAACACTTGAACAGGAGTTGGGGCAGGAAAGTTTCCCAGAGAAAGTGACATTTTCATCTGGGCCATAAAGAGGAAGCAGAAGTTCCCCAGAGGAATTGATCCTGGCACAGGAAACAGCACCTGTGACACATGGTATGTTCAGGAGCTGCAGATAGTTCCGTGTGGCTGGAACAAAGGAGAGAGCAGCTCTGTGAGGGTAACAGGCCCGGAGAGGAGAGAGGCCAGGCTGTGCCGGGCCTCACAGGCAGCGCTGAGGACTTGGGTCTGTATCCTAAGGGCAGGGAGGCCATGCAAGAGCTATAAGCAGGGGTGTGTCGTGATCAGATTTGCATTTTTTAAAAAGTCACTCTGGATAACCTCTGGAGAATGCATTATATAGAAAAAAGAGTGAAGGTGAGGTGCGTGCTTACAAATTAGATACCTTAGATGAAATAGACAAATTCCTAGAAAGATACCTACTAACAAAACTGGCTCAAGAAGGAATAGACAATCTAAACAGACTAATAACAAGTAAAGAGAATGAATTAGTAATTAAAAAAAAAAAAACTACCCACAGAGAAAAAGCCCAGGGCCAGAAGGCTTCACTGGTGAATTCTACCAAACATTTAAAGAATAAATACAAAATCTTCACAAATTTCCAAAAAACAAGAAAGGAAAGAATGTTTCCCAATTCATTCTATGAGGCCAGTATTACCCTGATACCCAGAGCAGACAAAGATATCACAAGAAAACTACAGACCAATATCTCTTATAAATAGGGAGGCAAAAATTCTCAACAAAATACTAGCAGACAGAACCCAGCATCAGATAATTAGCTGGGCATGGTGGCATGTGCCTGTAGTCCCAGCTACTTGGGAGACTGAGGCAGGAGGATTGCTTGAGCCCAGGAGTTTGAGGTTGCTGTGAGCTATGTTGACGCCACTGCACTCAGCCTGGGCAACAGAACAAGACCCTGTCTCAAAAAAAGAAAAAATAATCCAGCAACATATAAAAAAGATTACACACCAAGATAAAGTGGGATTTACCCCAAAAATGCAAGGTTCATTTAACATTTGAAAATCAATTAATGTAATACATATCAATAGAATAAAAAACAAAAACTACATTATCATCTCAATAGATGAAGAAAAAACGTTTGACAAAAGCTGACACCCTTTCATGATTAAAAAAAAAAACTAAAAATATTACAAATAGAAGGAAGCTTTGTCAGCCTAGTAAAGGGTGTTTACAAAAAAAAAAAAAACCACAGCTAACATCATACTGACCTAATAGTGAAAGACTGAATGTTTTCACTATTAAGATCAGGAGCAAGACAAGGAGGTCTGCTCTCCCCACTTCCATTCAACATTGTACTGGAGGTTTTAGCCAGAGAAGTTGGGCAAGAAAAAGAAATAAACAGCATCCACACTAGAAAGAAAGAAGTAAAATGATCTCTATTTGCAGATAATATGATAGTGTACGTAGAAAATAATAAGAATTTCACTAAAAAACTGTTAGAGCTAATAAACAAGTTCAGAATAATGGCAGGATACAAGATCAATATACAAAAAATAATTTTCTTCTGTACACTTACAATGAATAATCTGAAAATGAAAACACGAGAATAGTTCCATTTATAATAGCATTAAAAAGAATAAGATAGTTAGAAATAAATTTAACAAAAAGTGTAAAATTTATACTCTGAAAATTATAAAAAATCATTGAAAGAAGTTAAAGAGGATCTAAATGAATGGAAAAGCTTCTCATATTCATGAATTGGAAGACTTAATTTGGCAAGATGATAATACTTCCCAAATTGATCTACAGATTCAATGCAATCCCTATCAGAATTCCAACCAGCTTCTTTGTAGCCATTGACAAACTGATTTTTTTAATTCATATGGAATTGCAAGGGACCCAGCCAGAAGAGCCAAAACAATATTGAAAAAGAGGGACAAAGTTGGAGGACTCACACTTCCAGATTTCAAAACTTACTACAAAGCAACAAAAATCAAGACAGTGTGGGACTGGCATAAGAACAGACATGTAGATAAATGGAACAGAATTAGGAGTCCAGAACTAAACCCATGTGTCTATGGTCAACTGATTTTCAACAAAGGTACCAAAGCCATTCAATGGCAAAAGAATGGTCTTCAACAAATGGTGCTGGGACACCTGGATAGCCACATGCAAAGGAATGAGGTTGGACCCCTACTCAAACACCATATACAAAAATCAACTCAGAGTGAATCAGAGACCTAAATATAAGAGCCAAAACTATAAGACCCTTAGAAGAAAGCATAGGAGTAAATCATCATTACCTCAGCCTTGGCAGTGGATTCTTAGATGTGACAGCAAAGGTACAAGTAACAAAATTAAAATTAGATAAATTAGACTTCATCAAAATTGAAAAATTTTGTGCATCAAAGGACACTATCAAGAAGGCAAAAAGACAACCACAGAATGGAAGAAAAATTTGCAAGTCATATACCTTATAAGAGACTTGTATCTAGAATATTCTGGAAGACTTACAACTCAACAGTAAAGGGACAGATAACCCAATTTTTTTAAATGGGCAAAGGATCTGAACAGATATACAAATGGCCAATAAGCACATGAAAAGATGTTCAATAAGATTAGTCATCAGGAAGTGCAAATCAAAACCAAAATAAGATACCACTTCACATCCACTAAGATAGCTATAATCAAAAAGATAAGTGTGGGCAAGGAGAAAACAGAACTCTCATACACTGCTGGTGGGAATGTAAAATTGTGCAGCCTCTTTGGAAAACAATTTGGCAGTTCCTTAAACAATTGAACACAGAGTTCCCACAAGACTCAGAAATTCCACTCCTAAGTATATACCCAAGAGAAATGGAAATATATGTCCATATAAAAACGTGTACCTGATGTTTATAGCAGCATTATTCATAATAGCCAAAACATGGAAACAACCAAAATGCCCATCACCTGATGAATGAATGAACAAAATGTGGTATATCCACATAATGGAATATTACTCAGCCATTAAAAGGCAATCAAGTATTAATACACACTACAACATGGATGAACATTGAACATACTATGGTAAGTCAAAGAAGCCCGTCACAAAAGACCACATATGGTAGTTATATTTCATTTATATGAAATTTCCATAATAGCAAATCTATAGAGATAGAAGGTAGATTAGTGGTTGCTTATGGCTAGGAGGAAGTTAGGGGGATAAGAGGGTAAGAGTAAAAGGTACGAGATTTCTTTTTGAGATGATAAAAATGATCTAAACTTGAGTGTGCCTGCACATGTCTGTGATTATACTAAAAGCCACTGAACTGTGTCCTTTAAATGGGTGAATTGTATGGTATTTGAATTATAACTCAACAAAGCTGTCTTTTTAAAAAAGTGAAGGCCGGGAGATGAGTGATAGACTGCTACAGTACTGCGGGTTGAAATGACAGTGTGGTTGTGGTGAACTGGAAGACATCCCACGGAGAAAGAATGGAAAGGGGTTGGACATGGGAGTGGAAGGAGAGGGAAGAGTCTAGGTGACCGCCAAGCTTCTGTTTATATGACAGCTGGATGGAGATGCCAGTCGCTACAAGAATAAAAACAGCTAATACTTACTAGTACTTAATTGCCAGGCACTGTTCCAAGCACTTGGCACGTATTAATTCATTCAATC